CATCTTTAACACATCACTTCGATCTGGTATTGTACCAGTAATCTGGAAAGAATCTAATATAATGTCCTTCGTAAAAATACAACCACCTATGGATGAGGGCGACGTCAGACCTATCTCGTCGACTCCCTGTCTGTTCAAAGTTCTTGAGGATTTCACAGTCACATGGTTAATTGACGATGCAAAAGGCAAAATTGACCCAGATCAGTTTGGATGTCTGAAGGGAACCTCAACAACGTATTGTTTACTTGACATGATTCATACCTGGCTCAGTTACGTACCTCGACTCACCCGGAAGACATCTCCGCCTTTGCTTTTTTGATTTCTCCAAAGCTTTCGATCGCATTGGGTACAATGTATTATTAGAGATGTTTCTCGACTTAGGCGTCCGTACATATTTAATACCGTGGATTATAAGCTTTCTGACTAACCGCCGACAACGCGTTAAGTTAGCTGGCTCGACCTCTGACTGGCTCCCAATAACAGCCGGCCTTCCCCAGGGAACAAAACTTGGCCCGATATTGTTCCTGGTAATGATTGACAACTTGAATATCCCTGATCTCGAATCCCTTACTTGGAAGTATGTAGATGATGTATCGCTGTCCGAAGGACTTATAAGGAACAGCAACTCAAACATCCAAACCAGCCTCAATAGCGTCGCCTCTTGGAGCCACAGCAACTGGATGAAACCTAACGCTAAAAAGGGCAAAGAAATGCGGCTTTGTTTCCTAAAGGAGCCCATAAATCTCCCCCATTTGAAGATCGATGATCAACAATTAGAGCTTGTAACCTCACACAAAGTACTTGGTCTGGTGATCCAGAATAATTTAAAATGGAACAATCACATCGAGTATATTGTCACCAAGGCTTCTAAACGACTTCAAATACTCCGATTACTTCGTCGAGGGAGCGTTGAGATTAATGATCTAATTACTATCTATATCGCCTTGATACGATCCTTACTTGAATATAGCTGTGTCGTATGGCATCATGCTCTGCCCTCTTACCTCTCACAAGAGTTAGAACGTATACAGAAACGTGCACTCAAAATCATAGTACCTGCGTATTCCCACTCAGAAGCCCTTCAATTCCTAAATTTAAGAACATGAGACGAGAGACGTAGTGAACTCTGTGTTAAAACTCTTGAAAAGATCTCAGAAGAAGGACCTCTCATTAAACATCTCCCAATGACGAGATAGCGCATGCATCACTATCAAGGAAGATGCGCTAACAAATATACATCAACTAAATGCAGGACTGAAAGATTGCGCCGTAGTTTTTTCTCAAGTATTAGTTTAGCTTTCAACAATCAATAGATTTTTAGACCATATACCTATATATATATTTTAACTTATATTTGTAATTTTAATACAAAATCTATTGTAACCCAGTCCTTTTTTGATTAACAGTATGTAATTGTTATAGTTGTACATTTGTAACCACATTGTAATTCAGATTAATTGCGATGGTGGTGGAATTAAACTTCTTTTATTATTATTATTATCATTATTAATAGTAATTCTCCTTACTGTCTGCTTGTCTGCTATAAATTCTTAAGGATTCGGTATTGCATTAATTGATAATCCCCTAACTGATATTTTTCTTTGTTTTCATCACTTGTCTGCCCGATATTGTATTGATATTGTAGAGAGAAATTCTGTCTTGATCACTAACGGGAATTAAAGGCTTAAAACAAACTTAATGCCACAACACTCTAAGCAAAAAGAACCGGGCATAGTTTGATAAATCAATCCAGAAATGAAAAGGAGAATAAGGAAATAAGCAACAAGTGCCAGAACAGTAACAAATTTCTCGGCTTTTCTGTTAAAGACACGATCAAGAAACTATCATGGCGGCTGCCGCTGAGGATTTGTCTTATGCTGTGCTATGTGATCTTGCTCGCCCTTCTTACACTCCACTCTGTAAATTAAATTTAATAGGGTAACAACGAGAAATGCGAACACTGCACATCTATTAAAAATATCTCAAAACATAGGTTATTTTACCTGAAGAAAAGTCGTTACACAATTCAAGTGTAGAGGAATGGTGTAGAGACTATCTTACTGACCGTCAGCAGAGAGTCGTTGTAAAAGGGGAAGTATCTGATTGGCTAACAATTACCTCTGGTGTGCCTCAAGGCTCCCTGTAGGGATCTTTATTTTTTATTATTTAAATCTATGATTTGCCAGGGGTTATCAGTAAGGATAGTTCAATTGCTTTATATGCTGATGATAGCAAATTATATAGGATTATTAATTCTCCAGAGGATATGTCATCTTTTCAGGCTGACCTGAATAAGATTTCTGACTGGTTTAAGGATAATAAAATGAAAATTAATACTAAGAAATGTAAGATCATGAGAATCACAAGGAAAAAGAGTCCTCTGGTTAGGGATTATTACATAAATGATCAAAGTTTGGAAAGTGTGCATATATATAAGGACTTAGGTCTGCTCACTAGCTCTAATTTATCATGGAATTCACATATAGATTCTATAACTGCTAAGGCTATTAAAGTTCTTGGTTTGGTTAAAAGAACGTGTATGGATTTTAAGGATATTACTACATTAAGAACATTATACTGTAGTCTTGTTAGACCATTGCTAGAGTATTCATGTGAGACCTGGAATCCTCACACTCAACGTAATATTAATAGAATAGAGGCAATTTACAGGAGGGCAACCAAGTTTATCCTAAAGTCTAACGAGAATTATAATATTGGACTAAATAATTAGATTTACAAAGTTTATATAATAGGAGATTTATCTGGGATGTTGTATTTTTTATTTAATTAATGAAAGGGCATTATAATCTTGATATTTCTGATACGTTGCTATTTTGTTAATGAACGTAATGTAGATTATAATTTAAGAAAAAAATGACTCTCTTGACCTTGTTAGTATAGTAGAACTAATAGTTTTAAATATAGTTATTTTATCCACATTATCATTGAATGGAATAGCCTACCCAATCATATAAAAGAATCTGTTTATAAGCATAAAGTTATCATTTCTTTGTAATACTTAGTTCTACTCTTAGAACGGATTATAATGTAGAATTTTAGATCTTTTAATTTTATATTTAGATTATTTTATATTTTTATATATTTTCTTTTAATTTTATATTAAAGATGTTTTCTTTATCATATTTTAGTTTACTGAAGAGCATCCCTCGTATAGTGTCTGGTGCGCTTTTTGGATGCTTCCCTCTCCACCTTTATCTTAATTTAAAGTTATAATTTTATGGTTTGGAGAAAACTGTAATAAATAAATAATAAATAAATAAGTTATGAATTCTCGAAGTCGAATCTTACCCACTCCACTCAGCAGAAGAAACACTCGCCGACCTTGACAAAACTGACGATTTCCAAGGAAATACGGTCGAGATATTGTTTCTTGAATCTATAGAAGTCGGAAAAGACGCTGAAATTTCTCGTAGTTCGAAAGCTCTATCCACGCGAAAGCGCAAATATATGACAAATAATTTGGAATATTATTTGTAATTCAAACGAATTTTCCCGCTTTCAAAGGCAGATTCAAAATAGTCGACACCGATCTCCTCAGTCGGTTTCGTTCCATTAAAAAGCGAAGTATGATGCCAAGGTGAAGGCTGGTTTTGAAGTTAGTGAAGTTCAGTGGGGAGGTGCAACTATTCTTTCTTGGATTTAGAAATGTTAACACGAACCTAGACAATTTTTTTTCCGGGAATTCGAAATGCTTTGAAAAAAGTCTGCACACGAGCATGAAGAAAAGAAGTCATCTCATTCTAATTACCATTGTCATCGCAATACAGTCTACATGATCTCAACTTCAACAAGTCCTTAAGAAACTTAATGAAATTACAAACTCCGTTCGTCATTACCAGTTCACCCATGATTTAAATTTATCTGTTTGTTTTTTTTGAGGAGATTGAAAACCAACAAAGCCACTAGTAGCAAATTTTAGAGCACAATATTTAAAGTACTATTTTTCTACCATCTATTTTGTCCCTAACGCCGTTCCTGCACTCTGCTTACAATTTTCTTTTCCTTTAATATAATTTCAATATTTACCTTTAGCCCTTTGACGTTGCGTCGGTACCAAAAAGCACACGGTTTTTAGGTTAGAAGAGATCTATGTTTTAGTTGGGTCTTCTATTCGAAACTCAAGAGTTTTTCCATTGTGAGGAGTGCGAAGGAAAGCTTTGCACGTGCAAATCGTGCAAGTCTGTCGTTTGCGTTGCTCTAATTAACGAAGTTGAGTGGCCAGGTTTTTTTCCGTTACACAGTTTCATTGAGCAAAACTCATGATAATGATATAAAAAAAAACTCCTCCATATCTCTGGGTCGAAGAGTCAGGCGGGCGAGATATTTAATCTTTGAAAGCTACGCGAATTTCGCTCATGTGAGTCATTTTGACCAATAGTTAAAAACGAAAAAATGTTCTTGAAATGTTTAAGTCTTTTAACTTTCCATCTCATCTACATTTAAAACGAATTCTCTTTAATTTCATATTGATAACTCTGCGTGTGCTCTTTACATAAATTGTTGTGGCGGTCCCCACTTTCGCACTTCCAAACCAGGACACCCCAAAATCATCACCATGACGTCGTTCCTTGCCCCTCCCCCCCAATCCTTCTATCATCTTTGAACAACAAATGGGCAGGATCTAACTTGATACGCCGATCGCTAAATGAGGAGAGCAACCAAATTTCTCTTCGATTTACAGACTTACACAGAAAGAACCACGATTTCTTTTTTTTAGGGCCAACACTTGTTGAGAATTGAATCGGTGTTTGCTCCATACTATTTTCAAGCTGAAAATGTTCACGAAGAGGCATGCCAGTGTTAGTCAACCAAACGTTGTTGTTATTTTGGGTATAGGGAAACGTTAAGTTCATTCAAGACTATTCGTCGCTAAAATCCTACTTTCAAACAAGTGTAGAGAAAATTCATTGTATCAATTACTTTGAAGAGATAGGTCTTATTCGACAAAATGAGTGAGAATGTTTCATTAAGCTGTTCAATTGTATTTAATATGTTAATTTCGAACATCATTACAGAGCATACTCTTAATAATGTTTTACGAGAGTAGAACGAGGAGTACATGTACGTCGCAATTTATCCTCTAGTTGAAAAAAAAAAAAATGCTCTTTTTCCTTCTTTCCCTTTCTTCTTTTGCGTGCGGTTGGTTGTAACGTTGTTAGTAAACTCTCATCATAAATATAGAATATACAAAACAAACTAACAAATAAACAAACAACAACAACACACTTGGGAAACAAACATTCCTTACATGGAATTTTAACTGTTGACGTACAACTTTTCTTATACAAGGAAACTTTTGATTCACAGTTCGGGTTCAATCAATTCGTAGACCAGGGCAAGCCTGTTTTGTTTGTTTCACTTTGTGTTCCATTTTTTTTAACATATGAGGTTTTTTAGTAGACCACTGAACATCTTTACGAACCACATCTGGTTTCCTTTTTTTTTGGAGAACATTTTCTATACCAAACAAGACAATCCTGGTGGTATTTGAACCGTTGTCATGACAAAACAGTTTTCTGGTGTACCAAAGATAACCTTGCCACCCTGTTTCTGAAGAATACTTGTCATGAATCAGGATTGTCACACCAGGGTGTCTGCTCTAAATCGCAATTCAAGTGAACGTTTAAGATCGTACAGGGCGCTCCATTGATGTTAAGATTAGTCCGTTTTTCAACTCTGTAATTCAATGTGGTTAGTCCCGTTTCCCTGTCTCTCTTGAATGACTCCTGAGGATAAAGGAGGACAAAGGAAAGACTGGCATTGTTTGAGTAATCAGAGCTTAAATACAGTGCTGCAGGAGTATGAAAAAAGAAACCTTACCAACATGATAAATACCTGGTAACGGATTGATCTTTCTAGGTTGCTATTGCAGAAAAAACACGACTGAAAAAATGCAATCTTCGATCCCAGGTTCAATTTGTTTCTTGATATCAAGTATAAATACAATTTAATACATAATAATTTTGCAACAGCAGGATAAGTAAATAACATTGTTGAAATGAAGTTTGCTATGAATAAGAAAATAAGTAGATAACAATGTAAATCAAGTCGGTGTGATCGTTTGGGTAGAAAAGTCATGATTCTGTAGATGATTTCCATTCAGGTCGCAGTGATATCAAATGATTAGAGGGGGTAAGTTTCTATAGAAACTGTGGTGCTGCGTCGGTGGGAGAGTATAACAGGGTAATTAAGTATTATCAACTGAGTTGATAACGTAAATTGGCCACCGTAAAGAGTTTAAAAGCTAACGTTTTGAGAGTTAGCCCTTCGTCAGAGCGATTGATGTCAGTCTCGCTCGGACGATAAGTTGTCAACAAGAGATGCTTCATTACCTACGTTAATTTGTTTCCGTTTAGTTTAGCTTTTATTTTTTCTTATTCACGGCGGAATTGATAAATATAAATTAAGGGTTGCCGCGAATCGAGAAAAGTTGGCCTTACGTAAAAGAGCAGATCCACAAGACGCTTGCGCGCAAGCTCTCTTGAGGAACAGGGGGGAAGGGGGTTTGGAGTAGACGGCAGGGAAAGCCTTCTTTCTTCTTCTCTTCCCCCCCCCCCCCCTCCTTTCCCGCAAGAGAGGTTGCTTGAAAGCCACTTTATATCCTACTATCCTGTGTAAAACGCGCAGTTTTCTTCATGCCTCTAACATATCATGGTAGCCCACCTTTTTCTGATTAAAAAATCTTGCATAATCTCTTTTTCTTTTCTTGGAGTCATGGTCATGCTTGAAGGTGTCATAACCGGTGGTTATCTTTTTTTTACTATGTCGATAAATCTGAAAAAGAACAACACACTGATTAATAACACCAGCAACCGTAAAAAAAAGGTATTAACGGTGTAAGTAAAGAAAAACATTTGTTCTGATTGGTCAATAAAGCATTAACTACCGTCGAACCTCTCCACACCACCTGAGGGACCGAGGAGGTCGGGAAGGGGAGGTCTTGGCTGGTACAAGGGTATAGGAAGTCGTAAGGAGGTGTAATATGACTCCTGTTGTGGCTTTTAGATGGGTAGAAACTTTTAAACCTATAACTATATTACCAAAAAGTTGGGAAACGGGTTGACAAATAAAATGATCAAGATGAGGTACAGACAATGTCCACTTTTAGCCTTGAATGAATTTCATATACAGATACGTAATACGTTCTCGTTAGAGGAATGAAAACAGTCAGCTCAAGGGACTTAACACACATTATGTTTCACTGTTCCTCAGTAGTTGTTGGTCTGGCGAGGCCCGTCGCAGGCGGTTACCTTTGCGGAGAGGGTGGTCATTGAGGTGGTCATGATTAGGAGAATTTGATTAACAAACAAGAGCTTCTACTGTTAGAGATCATTCTCGCTATAATTCTCACGACTTAGATGTTTTATTCAGGGGTGATACTTTAACCTTTTAACTCCCAAGATTTGATTGTTAATTCTCCTCTGTAGCTGCTACACATTTCCTTGTAAATTAGTTATGAGAACTTGGTGCTAGATCAATATAGTAGCTTCTACCTGACAAGTTTGAATATTCTCATCACCTGTTTGCTGAAGAATGTATGGATATTGTAGGGAGAAGTTTTATGTTAATCACTTCTGGGAGTTAAAGTGTTCAGGAGACACTAGAAGTTTTTCGTGGCTTAATAAAGGTTTCAATGTACTTGGATAAAAACATTGCTGCGACTTACAGTTAAGCCAGCTTCTTTCATTCTCTGGTACAGCTCATCATCTTCTCGACCCCAGCCCCAAAATTTGTTGGAGAGCCCATTAACCTAGAAATAAACAAAACAACAATGTGTCTGGACTGAACTTAAACTTAATGGTTGTCAATTGAGGGAGTTTTTAATGAAAATTTAGCAGCAAAACAACCTAATGTTGACTCCAAATTATGCCCTCAAATAAAACCAAACCAAGAGATTGATATATACTCATTTCCTGTACTGGTTTTTAGCATTTCTCATCAGTTGTTACAATCTGTGTCATGGCAGATGACACAATAAGGTATTATGAGTGAGATAATATTTGCCCCCAATTCCTTACTTTGACTGTCTCCAAAGTCTTCATACTACATGGAATGAGGAAAGGAGGCATTAAGTTTAAGTGTAATAAATTTGAAGCCTTTACCCTAGAATTTGGAATCAAAAGTGGCCAGAGGCTATTAACCCTTTACACCCAAACATCAGTTTGGTTGTTCTCCATAATGTTCTTTCTTTATTTTCTAAGGTGCTAACATGGAGAATTTGTTTAAAAATCAAAATTTTTTTTAGTTGGTGATCATTCCCTTTATTCTCTTGACTTTTATGTGTGATAATCAGGTGATAACATGAGGAGAAATTAGATGCTGGTCAATCTTAGGGGTAAAAGGGTTAAAATCAATGATGATGGATGTTGAATAACATCAGCTCTTTAACTAAGCCAAAGAAAAATTCTGAGACACACACAAAGGGACAGAAAGATTCTTTTGGTATACATGCTTATGGCAACTCTTTGACATCTTTCTTAGGTGCATCAATATTTGATTCCACAGGTAGTATTACTATGAATTCTTCTATTCCTACATGTATACAGAAAATTTTTCTTTACATGCCTACAAAATTTGACTCACCTTTTCAAACTGTGCAATTGACATAATTAAAATTCCACCTACAAATGTTGGATAGTGATATTTTGGATGTAGGAAGGGTGCTGATACATGAAAAGGTCCTCTGTCAGGAAATCCATAATATAAGTCCTTGTTAAGAGGAAGGAGATCCACATCATGCATAGCTATATAGTCACAATGATTTCCTCTTGCCTCCAAGAATCCAGCATTTAAAAGGGAAGCTCTATTGAATCTGTGAGAAAAGAAACAAAAATAAAGTCATGCATTGAAGGTAATGATCTGCATGATCAGCAGGTATGTTAGAGAAGCAGGTAATTTAGTGTTAGCAACTGAGTTGAAAATGTAAATTGACCACCTTAAAGAGATTAAAGGCAGATGTTTTGAGCATTAGCCCTTTGTCAGAGTGATTGATTATATTAGAGAAAGATGTACATGTTACTTACTTGCCATGAGTGTAGGTTTTGACCTTCAATCTTAGTTTCACTCACTGGCACTTGGCTAACATGTTGGTGAACTATACCATACTACAGTATTCCAGCAAAAAGGACTTATTCTATGTTTATATAGATGGACAAACTGTACTAGGTCATGTGAACAATTTTCTGTTCCAACCACTTACCTATGCTTATCAACTTGGTTAACAATAAATATTTTGTGTCTGACTTTCTTGTCATTTAAATATTTGTGCATATGGGGAACAAATTCAAGCAGCTCCTCAAATCTGTCCCTGTAAGGAACAACCAGTCCAAGTTGATGTGGTCCCCAATCCTTTTCAGGAAGTCTCTCTTCTCTAATGATACTTTCTAAAATGAAATTTCCAACCATAAAGACATTAGCCTTTTCAAACAATATCTTGTGAAGTTTCCCTGGAGTAAGGGAGCTTGGATGCTATTACAAGGAAGATAACAAACAAGTAATACCTGAATACCTGCTTCATGTCAAATAGATTAAAGACTGGCCCTAAGAGTACAGATGGAGAGTCACAAAAAAAGTTGTAAATTGAATCAAGATCCTAGATGAATGGAACTCCATTCCTAAAATCATTATGCAAAGCTACATAAAGCCGATCCTCTGAAACTTAAGCTC